TACACTTCACATGCAGCTAGGTTGGCCTTTAAAAGAAAGGATTCTTGGGTTTTGTCACTATGATTATGATACTTTCCCTGCACATCCCCATGCATGTCCCTCCCTCAGCTTTATCACACTCCTCTTCTTCTCTTTCAGCCGACTTTGGCGTCTCCGCGCAAATCACAGCCACACTGGCCAAAAGGAAGTCTTTCATCGGGACTCCATACTGGTGAGTACAGAATGATGGCGCCTCTGTGTCTATGAGCCTCCTCTCCCTTACGCAGCGATAGCCTCTCGGTGTCTGTGAGCCTCCTCTCCCTTACGCAGCGATAGCCTCTCGGTGTCTGTGAGCCTCCTCTCCCTTACGCAGAGATGGCTGCTCGGTGTCTGTGAGCCTCCTCTCTCTGGTTGCATTGCCTCAGTTTGCTTGTTCTTTTATCTTATTCTGCTTTGCTGTCGAAATGCAGTCAAAATATTTTAAGGGGATGGACACCAGGCTTATTGGTGGTACCTCTGGGTAGGGAAGGGGAGGGTATCATATTCATATTAAAGGTCGTCTGTGAGTCCCTGCAGTAATATGAGACCTCGCCCCACCCCCCCACCTCAGGATGGCCCCCGAAGTGGCCGCTGTGGAGCGCAAAGGGGGCTACAACCACCTGTGTGACATCTGGGCAGTGGGCATCACAGGCATCGAGCTGGCAGAGCTGCAGCCGCCCATGTTTGACCTGCATCCCATGAGGTCAGTTTGTGAGCCATGGATGGATGGATGGATGGATGGATGGATGGATGGATGGGTGGGATGGTGCATTCATCCTGACCTTTGATGCCCCCCAGGGCCCTGTTCTTGATGACCAAAAGTAATTTCCAGCCACCAAAATTGAAAGATAAAGTAAAGTGGTAAGATGGACACTTCATTGTATTTCTTATTAAATTGTACCCCAGCTGTCATTCATGTCTTGGCTGCATAAAGTCATTATATGTTTATTTTATGGCATTTATGGAATTGTATTTGTAGAGACATTGTGATACTAATTGAATGAGTAAATGAGTAGGCCGTGTTTGTTGCGGTAGTAGTGCCCTAGCAGTGTCTAGGTACATTGGTGCTAAGTGGGCGCCATGGCAACAACCTCCCTGCTTGTTTCCAAGGACCAACAATTTCCACCACTTCATCAAGATGGCGCTGACGAAGAACCCGAAGAAGCGGCCGACGGCTGAGAAGCTGCTGCAGGTGCGTGACTGGCTGGGCTGCCCTGATCCTGAGGTTGTGCTGGGCGGCGCCATGTAGTGATTCTAGCCCTTCCTAACCCTGCCCATTCTCGACTCCGCCCCCTCTTGACCCCACCCCTTCCTGACTCCCCTTTCTGTGCACCAGCACCCTTTTGTCACTCAGCCCCTGAGTCGGACACTAGCCATCGAGCTGCTGGACAAGGCCAGCAACCCTGACAGCAGCTTGTACCCTGACTTTGATGACGACGACCCCGAGCCTGAGGTACAGTGGGGTGGGGTTCAAGCCCCCTGCGGTTTTAGACATTCCCCTGCCATCGTTTAAGCACCAGGATCTGTTTCTCCGGTTCTTCTTTACAGAAAGGTGCAGGGTGTGTAGGGGCTGGGCCCCATTGTCAGCAGTGTGTGTGTTTGTGTGTGCTTGAGGAGGTATTCAGGGCTCAAATTTAAGTTCAAGGAAAACACCAGTATTGGATATTAACCCTAGTCAGCCAGTGGGGGCACTGTGCATGGCTGACTGATGCTGCGTCTTCCCCCATCCCTGAAGGCCGCCCTCCCCAGCGATAGCAGCTAATCCTCACCCCCTCATTTCAGCTTTGGGGAGTGGGTGGTGGACATGAAATCTGATACATAAACAAAAACAGCCCCCGCAAAGCTGCATAGGAGATCCAGATTTTAAGAAATAACTAGTGACCCCCCCGCACCATCACTGAAGTTCCTCGTACAGACTTTGGCCTCCAGCCAGAAGGGGGTGCCATGGCGAGACGGTTCGTAGCTGCCCCATGCAGTGTTTGACTATTTTGTTCTGCTGTCCATAGCCCCTGGAGCCTGTGCCGCCTCGGATCCGCTCCACCAGCCGCAGCTCCCGGGAAGGCAAGACGCTCTCCGAGATCAACTGTGAGTTTTCCCCTCGTCCTGTGCCTTCAGCTGCCACACGGGGGCGTGCTCTCTCTCCTACGTTCAGAGGCCTGAGGGACCATCCTTTTGACGCCTCTAGCGGGCGGCTCATCCTCGTCCCCCTGGGACTCGTATCAGTCCCTGCGAAACCTGAGCACGTCCTGGCCGTTTCCATAGCGCCGATAAGCCGCCCCGATAGCAGCGTCGCTCGCATCTTCCTATCTTCCTGCCAGACAGAGTACCTGAAACCCGATGCCTTTATCACCCTCTGCGACTGCCGCCTGTGCAGAAAAGCCCCAATCTAATTCCCGAAATGCCAGCAGCATGGTAGGTCTGCAAATTCAGTGCTTAAGTCCCTAATAGACCCCAGATTGGTGGTTATGAGCTGCACAGGAGTAGAAATTAACATAGCCAATCAACTGGGAAACAGAAGGTTGCTGGTTCAAATCCTGGCTGTTTTTATGACCCTTTAATTGTTTTGAGGTATAATCGACAGGGGTAAAGTTCAGATGTAGGCTTCCGAATGATATCTTCTGGCTAGCTGGGTAACTGGTGCAGACTTCTTTAAATGAATGGTATTTATACAGAGCCCCCCCCTGCCCGTGCACCTCCAGCTGCTTTTCAGTGACTTACCTCTGGAGTGATGGTGTCCATTCTCACCCACAGTTGGCAAAGTGAAGTTCGATCCTCCTCTGCGGAAAGAGACCGAGCCTCATCACGAGCCGGTGAGACCGCCTGACCGCATCACCTCCACCCCCCGCTCACCCGCCATTACACCACCGGGGGGGTTCACTACCCCCCCCCCCAACCCACGCACGCACACACACACACACACAGGCAGAATGCCAGTCTGAACCGGCCCTGTCTGCCCACAGTGAGGTTTTCCCTTCCTGATGTGTCAGTGATCCCCAGTTCACTGCACTTACCTCTACAGCTAACAGCGAATTTACTCCATTTTCTAGTACTGAGTGCATTTACACCAGCGTTCCTGGAAACGAATTAAAAATTACACTAATGTAATTTAATCTCAATATATAAATAAGTTAATTAATTTGAATCTGTAATTGTTATTATGTTAACTTTTAATTGCGAAAAGCAAATTTATTTGTCTGTCTTTGGTCACCTTTGATCTTTATGGCCAAGGATGTTAATTATGTAAATTTTCCTCTTTAAATTTTCCACATTTATTTACTAACTGAGCTTGATCAGCATAAAATCCTCGGGCTTTTGCTTCCTTTCTCCCCAAACTCGAACCTCACACTGGCAGAGATGAGCCTTTCGAGTGCTCGCTGTCCTGGGTCACCCCCCTCAGGCCTGTCTTGGCCGGCCCGCCCCTTCCTATGCCCATCCTGCACAGCCCCACCCCATCCTGTGATGCCCCACCCCTTCTGGTGCAGCCCCACCCCATCTTGTGATGCCCCACCCCTTCTGGCGCAGCCCCACCCCATCCTGTGATGTCCCGCCCCCTCTGGTGCAGCCCC